CTACTTCCAAAGCACTAGCTGCTAACCATGCTTTGGAGCAGTTACACTCTGATACACGGGCTCGGACCCTAGAGATGACGTGGACACAGTGGTAGCTGATTCCCCTCCTGCCCCAGTTACTCTATTCGTTCTTGAATAATTGGGCGGAGAGCATATGAAGGGTATTAATTATTTGAAGTGTACAATGATGTGCTAACCAAAAATTAACCGATACCTTGCTGTCTGCCATTTTGTTTGGGAATATAGTACAAATTTTATTTTAGCTTTTAATTTTTATGTTTGCCTATACGACTATTGAAATTTAGTGTAGAATTTCAGAACTGACTTTCGTGACAAAAGTGCTATTTTTTTTTAGAAATATAAATATATTTCAATGAGCTATGAAATCGACAGTTACTCATTTCATAACTGAAGTTGACCTGCATTTTTAAAAGTGTGCTTTGTAGCTAACACTTTAATATTTTATCCATTTAATAATGTTTACTCCCAATGACTTCTCAATTTCTCCTCTTAGCTTATAATTCCTCTTCTCTAATTGCCCTGATGTATAAATTCCAGGAGTTTAAACATGTATTGTTATTTATAGATATTTGAATTGTATTGTAAATGCTCCTAACTGTAGGCTCTTTTCTCTTTTCTTTCCCGGTGGTTTGCTCTAGAATTATTCTTCATAGGTTTCATCTTCATGGGGTTCTTCTTTTATATACTGATTACAAGACTGACACCTATTAAATATGATGGTAAGTGAAAACTCTGTAGTCTAATTGGTTGTTCACCCGGGAGAACATTACTTACATGCCTTCCATCGTTTGACCAGTCGTGGGCAGGGAGTCCTATCTGTGTAAAAGAGAAGGCCACTTCTCCTGGAAAGTTGTGTTTTTTGGTACACTGTTCATTCAGACCCCATCTCATGTTAATCTGCATGTACAGGGCAAATCCCTTCAGCTATTTAGGGTTGGGCCCCAGATGCGTTTTCTTTCTTTCTGTCATTCTTTTTTTTAAAGAAATAATTTTACTGGGGACTCTTACATATAGTATAACAAACCATACACCAGATGTATTTTCAACAAACACCTTCCATGAGTCTATAGGTAATGCTCTCATATAAAAACTTAGAGAAATGAAGGGTTTTGTTGATTATAAACTATAGGTTTATAACCTACTGATAGGTTGAAGGTAGGAAATTTACAGAGATCAAAATGTTAAGGTTATCTTTTCCTTCAAAGCAAATACCCTTCTCTTTTGCCAACACATTTAACAGAAGGCTGATCAGCTCTGGCTTCCAAGTTGTGTCAAGCCAAGCCTGTCACCAGCCCTGTGAGGCCTAGCTCTCTGGCAAATTTCCACAGCTCAGACCCTGTCTCTCCTAGAAGAGGGCCTATCCATGCTTGTGTCCTGAAACCACTGGTTTCAGAGCCCCTGGTGCCTGATCAAAAGAAAGGCTGGGGCTGGCTCTGGCTCTAGTATCACGCATCTAAGCATGATTTTGGGATGATTGCTAATGACCAAATTGCTCACCTTCTCCCTTTGTACAGTTCGTCTGATTCTAACTGCCGTGACTGGGAGTGTTGGCGGAATCTTCCTGGTGGCTACGTGGTGGCGATTTGGAACCCTCATGTTCTGCATGATATGTGTTGGACTAGTGCTGGGCTTCCTCGTCTCTTCAGTGACATTCTTCACTCCACTGGGTAGGAGAGGGGGAACGGATCAGCGCTTCAGAGACTTGACTTGCTCCGTCTAGATTCAATTGGACTTGCCAGGTGGTAGAGACAGTTAATGCATTCATTGCTAACAGAAAGGTTGGTGGTTCGGGTCCATTCAGAGGAGCCTGGGAAGAAGGTCTAGCGATCTGCTTGCTAAAAGCCAAAGACTTGAAAACCCTATTAAGAAAAAGAAAAGAAAACCCCATGGAGCAGGTCTACTCTGCAGATGTGGGGTCTCCCGAAAACCCCATGGAGCAGGTCTACTCTGCAGATGTGGGGTCTCCCTGAGAGGGACTCTGATGGCAGCTAACAATCCAGGGCAGTTAGCGGCTCAGGAAGGGCTCTGGGAATTTCTCAAGCTAATTTCTTTTAAACTGGCTTAATTCGTAAGTTAACTTTCCCCCTGATTGGACCTAGTTTCCATTTCAGTGTTGCTATCGGAAATACCACTAGTATTTATCACTAGGCTTCAACATTTCCTTGAATGTCTACAGATGATGGAGAGACAAGGACCTTTCCCTAAAGCCCCTAGGGAGACAGCCTTCCTTGAGATCTAGTACTGTCTGAATTTGGGCTTCTTGCCTTCCAAACGAACAGCTTTGTTTGTTAAAGACTTCTGTACATAGTTAACAGTCTGGAAACCCCACAGGATCAGTTCTACCTTGTCCTGTAGTGCCCCTATGAGTTGGAATCAACTCAATGACAGTGAGTTTGGAGTTTTGGAGGCATTCCTTGAGATCTCTGTGTCTTGGCATCTGGATCTTTCCCCTGGATCTAAGAGTTTCTTAGGGACCCCAGATCCAAAGGACACACTCCACTTCCAGTTCATCTTTCTTGAGGGTATGGTAGTACCTTCTTTATCTTTTTTACTTGCAAGTTAAAAGATGTCACAGGTCATATACCCCAGGGAAACTCCCCTTATATCAGGACTATGATGGGGCTAAGGGTGTTACATCTCACCTTTAATTCCCTTGTTGGTTTATATCATATCATAGCATGTCATGGCATTGGGGCCAGGCTGGGGGTGGGGTGGGGGTTCTATTACATAACTGCTGCACTGTACCATTGCATAACTGTCAAACTACCAAGCAGCATGGTCCAGCCAACTGGACACACATTTCGGAGAGGCACAATTCAACCTATGATAGCAATTAAAAAAAAAAGTTGACCATAGATATATGGGTTCATTTTTGTATTCTCAATTCTATTCCACTGGTCACTGGTCAACTGATTTTTGACAGGGATGTGAGATCATACTGTATGACTCCTTTACTATGTTCTTGGGGTTTGTTCATAGTATTTTGTTAAAGTTTGTGTCTGTGTGTGAAGGCTTATAGAGCAAGTCAGTTTTCTACTAACAATTTACATTTGTTGACGAGTTTTGTGTTTACCTGCATATGTAAATTTCTTGTCTTTATCTGATTGTTTGCTTCATACAACTAATGAATTATCCTTCGTTACTTTTGGGGAGTTTATGTGAAACGGAAAAGAGCCCTGGTGGTTATGCGTTGGGCTGCCATCCACCCAGTCGGCAGTTTGCAAGCATCAGCTACTCCGAGGGAGAGACTGGGCTTTCAGCTCTGGTACACAGCTAGTCTTGGAAACTCCCTGGGAGGTTGCTGTGAGTCAGCATTGACTAATGCTTCAGTTTGTTTCTGTTTTTTTAGATATAGTATTAATTTAAATTGGGCTCTGAAAGTTTAGCAGACTTCCCCAGTGAAGAAGTCATCTGGTCTCGGACTTTTTGTTTGTTGTTTTGAGCACTAATAAGTCTCTACTTGTGGTTCTGTTGTGACTTTATTTCCTCTTGAGTCATTTGGGATAGGTTGTGTGCTTCTAAGAATTTGTTCATTTCACCTAGCTTATCCAATTTCTTGCCATGTACTTGTTCATAATATTCTGTGATTATTTATATTTAAGTCAGTTGTAGTACTGCCTTTTTTAAGTTTGTGCTTTTCATCTTCTTTCAGCCCTGCTAAACGTTTTCCAAAAGTATCGATCTTTTCAAAGAACTAATTTCTGGTTTTATTGATTATGTTTTTGGTTTTGACTTTAGTTATTGCTGGGCTGGTCTTGGTTATTTCTTCTAGTAGGTTTAGCCAGTGTGCTCTTCTATGTCTAGTTCCTGGAATGTCAAGTTGAACAAATAAGCAAAAAAACAGGCTCACTGCCATCGAGTCAATTCTGACTCATAGCAACCCTCTAGGACCAGGTAGAATTGCCCCTGGGCTCCCGAGACTGTACATCTTCGTGGGAGTAGAAACCTCCTCTTTCTCCTGTGGAGTGGCTCATGAATTCAAATCATAACCCACCACCAGGGTGTCTCTCTTTTAATGTAGGCATTTATTGCTCTGAGTTTTCCTCTGATCCCTGCCTTTACTGCACCCTGTACATTTTGGTATGTTGTGCTTTGGTTTCATTTGACTCTAAGAAGTTTGTGATTTCTCTCTTTCTCCATTGGTACTTTAACAGTGTGTTAATTTCTGTTTGTGGAATAACAGGGTTTTTAAAAACTGATCTCAAGCGTCACTCTGGTGGGCAGAGAAAATACAATGTATAATTTTAATCTTTTAAAATTTACCAGACTTATTTTGTGACCTAACCTGGTCAATCCATGTGCAATGGAATAGGATAGATATGTTACTGTTTGGGGTGGAGTGTTCTGTATCTGTTAAGTCCAGTTAGCTAATGGTGTCATTTGAATCCTTGGCTTCCTTTGGATCTTGGTAGGGTTTAAAATGACTAGGACCTTTTGAAAGTAAATTGCTAGTTCTTTATATAGATGGCAGTAGATGACCTTGAAGTGCCAACATTTTTATGTCTGTGCTGCAACCTTAAGATTCCCAATTTACTTAAAAAT